CCGAAGAAGCATATTCTCCAGGATGCACCCAGCTTCCTGTGTTCGGCGATGAAAGAGAGAGTATAGCCCGGTATTAATTAAGCCAAGTCGGAACATCACAGCAGAGCACAAACAGTGGGACAGTTTCATAAAGCATACATAGTTTTGGTTGTCATTGTTTGTTATTATTGAGCATAATATTGTAAATTCAATTGCGTGCAAATTTTAGAGCGTGCAGATAAGCATGTCGGGGACATTTTTGAGATTATGCATTTCAAGCCGCACGTAGACGCGTAATAAAAAAAGAACAAAATATTGCATTTAAAGATTTAAATTTACATGTGTACAAGCATACATAGGTTAACACATACAGTCAATCAATTAAGTTTTGGTACAGGCGATTTTTTTTTTTTGCAACGGGCAACTGTTTTTTAATTATTTATTTTTCGCAATTTTTTTATAAAAATATGGTTACGATATCGTATTACTTGTCACGTAAAAACACATTTTTCGGATTATGACATACGTGAACGTACTCTTTACCCCATTCAGCTTATACCACTAACGGTATCACGTAATTTTCCNTCCTTCGTATGGTTTTCGATCCGTGAACAGATGTTACGATTCGAGCCCATAGCTGCAAACCTTGTGCAAAATTAAAAAAATTCTGCAAATTTCCATCAAAATATTACACTTTTTCATTACACTGACTGACGGTAGTCGTATAAGCTGAATGGGGTAAAGAGTACGTTCACGTATGTCATAATCCGAAAAATGTGTTTTTACGTGACGAGTAATACGATATCGTATGTGACGATTCGAGCTCTGATTTTTTGGGTTAATGTTGTAGAATTAACAATATTTTTATAAAAAATCTGCGAAAAATAAAATAATTAAAAAAAACAGTTGTCGGTATTACAAAAAAAAAAACAAAAAAATCGCAGTACCTAAATTTTATTAATTGACTGTATGTATGTATATCCTATTTGTATTTTGAAAAGTATTTGAAATGAAGATATGGTTTTCAATGCGTTAGTTTTAGCGTTGAATCACGCCTTTTGTGGAGTTTAAATAAAATCAAATTATATATGCACACGTAAAACTATAATGAATGTTCTTCAAACAGCCAACTTGAAAAAATGTATATGTACATAAATTATGATATTTTTATTTCCAGCTGATGGTATGGTGGCAAAACTGCTACGCGGCATAGTGAAGCGGATGAAGTGAATACATGTTAAAGAGTTTGACCACATACCTGTAACAACTTCATGCTCTTCACTCTCTTCGTTGTCTTGAAATGACAACTCTTGGTATAGGGTATTAGCAGAGCGTTGCTCCTTTTTGGTTGTTGAACGCCCAACTGCGCGCACGCATTTTCCATAATTCAATTATGTAACATTTTATTGAAGTTGTAATAACAGGATTCGAAAGGTTAATGTTTTTTTTTTGTATTGTTTTCCGTTTTAATTGATTTTTATTTAGGTTAACACAAATGTTGGGATTCATGGAAGAAACGTGTGTGTGGAATGCATATTATTGTCATAGTGACAGGAAGATTAAAGAAATAAAATAAAGAGAAAATCATTAGTACAATCGCAAACAGTTAATACTCGTACACACATATGTAAATACTCTTATTTATTATATTTTATCGAATCTTTGCTTTTCACTCACCATTGGCTGGTGCATTTGGCACAACGGGACTCGTATCACTCTGCGGTGATGTTGCTTGGTTCTGCTGCTGCAAGGTGTCTGTTTCAGCCGCACGCTCCACCGTCTGCAGGCTATCTAGCTCATTTGCAATGACGGCGGCCCGGAATCATCTGAGTTGCTGCCAACACTACAGATTGTCTCTGTATCCAGCATGACGGAGTTTTCGAGTGAAGCAAAGCCATAAGACACTGGACCGGAAGACCTATAAAATAATGACGATAAAAGCAAATGAACAGTGGATAAACATTCAAATAAAAATTATGAAAATTTCAAAGGAATTTTGCGAAACGTTGTAAAAATAAAGGTAATAGAAAATATTTTCAATTTCGGGGAAAAAAAAGAAAATTTTAGGCATTACCGAGCTATTGGATTTAACCTGGCTCTATTCACTTCCAATCGCTCTGATGCAGAACTCATTTGCGAGTGTGTCGAACCCATAAGCATTTTGGTGCGTTCCATGTAGTCAACATGGTTTTTGAAGAGCTCCGTGTAGCGCTCGTGTAGCTTGTTATACTCCTGCAGAGAGCGAATGTTTCAGTTGCATATACATATATGTATGTATTCATTTTCTAAAATTAAATCCAATTATAATAAATGCATATGCCTACCTTCTTCAATTCGGTCTCGCGCTCCTCCAAACGACTCGCATGCTCCAAACTGTTTTTATGCTTCAATTCGAGCATGCGCACAATGCTTTCCAACGACTCCAGCCGACTTGCGAGCTCTTTATTTTCCTGTTCAGCCACATCTTCGGCTTCTAGCAACTGCAATGTAACGGATGCTTATTAAATGTGCCTACAACNTTCTAAAACATTCACCAGCAGCGGCATAAGATTCTTCACCACATCTTCATCGTAACGGTTAATCATGCGTTCGAATTCCTGATAAATACTACCAGCTAATTGTTGTACCTAATTAACGAAGATAACGGTTATTGGTTAAGGGGAAATGTGTATGTATGTATGTACATAAAGAGCTGGGTATAAAAATTTTAAAAATGTAAAATTTATTTTATTGATGCGAGAAACGTCGCTGTGAGAAATATTTTTATATACAAATTTTTATTGAAAAAAAAACGTTTAATTCCGAGTAAAACTAGGTACCATTTATATAAATCAATGAACAATTTAAGCGACCCAAAACTAGATTTTTCAGCTAACTGGTAGTCCAATCTTGACTAAAAGAGACCACATATTTTCCTTTGAAATTTTGGCAAAAAAAAAGTTATAGAAGTGGAAAAAATATTCCGAAAATTTTCAAGCTATTTACAATGTTTATTATTTCTTTAAATAGTACAAATATTCTTCTTTCCAAATATACATATTTAAAATTAGGTAAAAAATTTGAGGGCGTTACAAAAATTTTAAACGCAGTTTCGTGAATTACTCGATCCGCCCTACTATCTATACTTAACAAATTCATGACCAGTGTTATTATTATTTAATGTTTTATATGTACTAGAGGTATACGCCGCCGAGCCACGCCGCCGCCGCCGCCG